AAAGTTATGTTCAGGACCCGGAAAACTTTTCTGGGATATTTTTTTATGCAAAAGAATTAGGAAGGTTGAGAAAAGGCTCAAGTCGGTGAAATCAACTTTGCATGATAAACTTCATGCGCTTAGCAGCAGGCCAGGAACATCAACTATTACATCATCCACTGCTTTACCTGTTCATTCAGTAACACAAGTAGTCGGTCCTCACTATCAACAGATTCTAGAATCAAGAACCCGCACCTGTGCTGAGAGTACTCGCGATGCTTTTTTGCGGTCATCCGTGGACAGGTGCGCATGCTCAGAGTAGCCATTAGGTATCCAGCTCAGGTGAACAGGCCCACTAGATATTCGCTAATGAAGCATTGTGGGACTTTGGGGAACAGAGTAAAGAGGGCCAACTCTACTGCTGAACGTCTTATCCATACCAGACATCCAAGCACCGTGGACACAGCTGACACGAGGACAGGCATGGTCTCATTTTAAAGGAGAAACAGACAACCCACATGTAAACACAGTCATGGCGCAGTGCCCGGGGTGGGGGTGCTATTTGGCCAGTAACATCAATAAAGACTCCTCGGAGGAGGTAACATTGGGTCTGTGTGATGGATGAGGAGTAGTCCCTCAAACTGTCCAGTCCTCAGGGACCTGTCTTCACCTGTCCCCTGGGCTGAGGGCTCTTACCTGCTCCTCCTCCTCTCTCAAGCTGGGCAATGTGCTGACGGACAGGTTGACAGCAGTGACAGTGACGAAAAGCACAGAGAGGCAGGCGAACACCTTGCCAGGCAGCCCTGAGTGCGGCCGCTCCACCATGTCACGCAGTCTCCGCATGCAGTGGCCCAGGCGGCCCTCGCCCTCAGCCGGGCCCTCGCTTCCCTGGTCCTCAGTGTCCAGCGGGTCTTCCTCGTCTTCTCGCTCCATCATCTCTGCGAACTCCTCAATCTTCTGCAGGTAGCGGCGCTTGCAGCAGCCGTCCAGGTGATCCTCGGCGATGCCCCAGTAGAGCAGCTCTTCCTGGAAAGACAGGGCACACATCTCGCGAAGCAGCCGCAGCTTGCCCGCCCGTAGGAAGGTCAGGATGGTGCCGAAGGCGCCAGGGTTCCGGTCGAAGAAGAATTCGTTGCAGGTCACATCATAGTCATCACAGACATTGAGGATGTCGTCGAAGTTAGTGCAGGCCTTGAGCTGACCCAGCCGCGTCAGCGGGAACTCGTCCAGCGTGGTCCAGGGCAGCGAGTACTTGATGCCGCCCACGTTGATGATGATCTGGCGGCGGCGGTCCTCGGGTTGGCAGCCTTGGCGGAGCTCGTCCTGCGGTCGCAGCCGCTGCGCCCGGCGGTAGAACACGCCCTTGAGGGATTGGTTCTGCTGGAAGAAGGCGGGGTTTAGGGAGGCGTCGGAGGTGCAGCTCAGGGCGCTGTAGTCGTAGTCGGAGTTGTCTCCGGGTAGGAGGGTCATTTTGGGCCTTCACATCCCTGTCAAGCCTGGAGGAAGAAACGGAGAGACCCTTAGTTGGCCAGGGCCATAATTAATTAAGGAATTAAAACAGATGAATTGGGACATATTAATCGAGGAATTAAATGAGACATGGGGAAACCTGTGCATGAAGAATTCATTGTCTTTGCAATGCAACAATGAAATACTTTCTTTTCTTTTTCTTTCTTTCTTTCTCTCTTTGGATGGCAGAGCCACAAAGAGTTGTTTTATTATTTTTTATGCACAGACCTCTAGTTGAATTTTTCTCTTGGTGAAACATTCTCTGAGTTATTCATGATTTTATTAGTATCTTTTTTACTTTAGATTTTTGACTCTCATACACTTTAGTATATTCTCATTAAAAGTCAGAAGCCACACATTAGCTACATTTTATTCTACTTGTAATTTTAAGTAGTTTTAATACTTAGATTAACAGTGTTCTTAAGACTGCTAGGAGACAGGACTTGTCAATTGAATTACTGACAGCTTAGGTTTAGTGATTGTAAACATTCTTCCTTGTAGCCTTAGTTTAAGGCAATATAGAATCCTAAACATGAACAGCCATAAATAAGGGCTGTGGGTACAAGAATT